TTCTCAGGGGTGCGACATAGCAGGAGATTGACTGCACAAAGTAGGCTCATTAGTTATCCAGGCTCCTATCGATCGCGTTCCCGTATTCCTGGGATCTTTCTACTTCTGTCTGGACCGCACGGTCTCTGATTGGCTGGTACCATCTACCTATGGTATGTATTCAGAAGCAGTGACACGTACGCGCGCTTTTGACGTCATACGTGAAGTTTGATTGATCACAGTTGTCCAAAAAAACTGTAACGCGTCGCTCCAGGGTACGCGTCATTTCGCAGGCCCGGATCACCGCACTGCCTTCTCGTCGGGAGGAATTGTTTTCCCACACCAAAGTGAGAGAACAAAAAGCCAGTATATCTAAGGTTATAACTGGGTCGGTGAACAACTCACTGACAGGACACCGAGGTAAGTCGGCTAAAAGCCCTGACTCCAAACCGACCAAACAAGAGCCGTACGAACCACAAAAGAAACCATACCTTCCTAGCTGTGGTAATGGTTACTGGCTCGATTGGGCATTGAGGTGTATGGGGTATCCTGGACGTTTGACCCGGTCTGAAGGGCATATGATCCAATGTACTGGACACCTGCCCCCAATGGATTGAGGTTTTCACACATCGCACGGCTACCTTGCGAGCCAGGCTTTGTTTAGCCTAAGTCTCTGTTGTGAGTTCCCGAACAAGATTCACCTCCATTGGCCTAGGCAACCTGGCAGTATTTCTCCCTAGAGTACATCATTTTTATAAAAAAAGAAAGAAACGTTGCAAGTTTGCACTATCACCCCCGATTAACGGCTTCCCTTTTTCGCTCTATTAGGATATTGTCCCCGGACAGTCACCGAACCCTCATGAACTAGTATAAGATCCCGTTTGTGTTGGATTGGTGCAAAACGCCCCCCGGTCTACGTCAATTGTTAATGCAAAGACCTGTGTGTAGTCCCGTCCGGTCTTGGATCAATAATGATATCCACCTATGTGAAATGGAGACATGATACTTTCAGCTGGAATGGCACCCAACAAGATGCTCACATAGCCAAGCCATCGACTTGTCTAAATCATCGACCTCCACGACAGACATAACTTATGAACAGGATAAATAGACGTGAGTAGACAAGACTGAGAGCGGAATGTTCAAACGGATTCGATTTTTCAACAACCGCAAACGATTTTTATAGTTTCCATGACAGGTACAATGATTGGATTTTCGGTGTTAAGTGCGAATGAATGCTTCCTTCTGTAACAAAATTGTATTGTTACCATACCCTCCTTTAACATGCCTATTAAATCAGATATTTCACCACAGGAAATTGTGGCCCATGCCACCATGATAACTGCGGAATCTGAAAAACTCTCTCTCTGTTATCAGTAGTAGACTAACCCATTCGAACGACATAAATTGAACTTTTTAGTTGTTCAAAATCCCTCTGTCCCATTCCGTCCAGCGGTATCCATTTCTCACTTTATTTAGGTGGTTTGGGGTTTTGCTATTTCCTCAAATTCGTGTATACCAGATTCGGAGAGTTTTGAAAAAGTTGTCGTATGGTTTCGACACATCCAACTGCACTAGTTAGCCCGGTTAGAAGCAGTCAATCTCAGGCTTCTTTTCATCTCGGATCCGTTTTCCTTAAAAGCATTACGTATGACTTACAGGAATTGCCGCTTTGGAT